AAAACATATCCAGCTGAAAGAAAGAATTATATAATTAAAGATTCTGAAGTTTCATATTTTATTACTGATGAGGAATGTAATGATTGGATTGAAAACTTTTCTGGTAAATTAATTAAATCAAATACAACTGATATCACTAACCAATCAGATGATATAGTCGAATCAGTATGTTGTGGAGAAAATCTTTGCTATGTTATGTACACTTCGGGTAAGAAGTTTAGTTTTTACGACATTTATCTTTTAAAGGACGATTTTTTTATTTTTAATCATTTTAGGGTCAACAGGAAAACCAAAAGGCGTATTGATCGAACATAAAAATGTTACAAGTTTATTGATGGACCCTAAATATGACCATTTTAGATACAAAGATAGAGGACTAAGGGTATTACAAGTTCTATCCATGGCTTTTGACGCATCACTTTTGGGCTGGGCAATGGCTATTACAAATGGTTCAACTATTTGTTTTGCTAAAAATCCAAAATTATTAGTTGGAGATTACTTATTAGATGTCATTAAATGTAATGAAATAGAAGCAATGGCAGTTGTGCCGACTATCTTGTCTACCATTTCACCTGATAAGTGTAGTCAAACTTTTCAATATCTTGAGGTTGGTGGTGAAGTTCTTCCAAATAATTTAGCTTACCTTTGGAAGAATCGTCTTAAGAACTTTTTTAATTCTTATGGTCCTACTGAAGTAGGTGTGATGGCAACAGATTATGATATCATACCTGAAAATAGTCTTGTAGCATTTGGATCTGCAGTTGGAACTCCACGTGATCACACTTCTATATATATCTGTGATCCAATAACGCAAGAATTATTAAGTGATAAAGGCGAAATATTGATTGGTGGTGCTGGATTAGCGCGAGGATATTTGAAACGGGAAGATATGACTAAAGAACGTTTTATATTTCATCCAATATTACAAAAACGTTTATATCGTACCGGTGATCAAGGATGTATTCTGGAAGATGGTAAAATTGTTTATTTAGGAAGGCTTGATCGTCAAGTGAAGCTTCGTGGATTTAGAATCGAGCTTTCTGAGGTTGAAGCAATAATTTTGAGTAAATGTCCAGAGATTTGTCGTGTATCAGTTCAAGTTAATGAAGAAAAAGAGTCGTTGGTCGCATTTGTTATACCAAAAGATATAGACCATAAAGCAATTCGAAATAAATTGAGCAAAGCAATGGCAAAATTTCAAGTTCCGGATATCATTCCAGTTGCTAATTTGCCCTGCACACATAATGGAAAAACAGATCATGATAAAGTTAAGAGCAATATGCCCGAATTACTCAAGAAAGTTGTCGTATCTAAAGTTTCAAGATCTCAACATAAAAATTCTAAAGACTCACTTGTTTCGCATCTACAAGTTCTATGGCAGGAAGTCCTTGCTTTGGATGAGAAACCAGATATTAACACTAATTTCTTTGACCTTGGTGGTCATTCTCTTTTATTATTGAAATTACAAAAGAAAATTCAATGTCAAATTCCTTCGGTTGACCTTGTAGACCTTTTCCAAAATCCAACAATTAAAGCTATGGCGAATTTTCTTATGCCTACAGATCAATCTTTAGATTTAAATAATTCTATAATTACGCTTAATAATAATCAAGTAATAACAGCAAGTGAAATAGCAGTTATAGGGATGGTTGGGTGTTTCCCTGGAGCTGATTCCGTTGATGAATTATGGAAGATGATAAAAACTGGTCAGCATGGGATTTATACATTTACAAACAAAGAGCTTGACGAGATGAATGCAAAGAATCGCAATGATCCTTATTATGTACCAAAATGTGGAGTACTTTCAAATATTGACAAATTTGATGCTGAATTCTTTAAAATTAGTCATCAAGAAGCAGTTTCAATGGATCCACAACAACGTTTACTATTAGAAAAAAGTGTACAAGCTTTAGATGAAGCAGGAATCAATCCACAGCATGAAAAAGGAGGAATTGGGGTATTTGTTGCAATTGAAAATAGCACATATAAGAATTACTCATGTAATAATGAAAATGATCCTGCAAAAGATTATAGTGATGACTTTAACAATTCATCTGGAAGTGCAGCAACAAGAATTGCATACCATCTAAATCTTAAAGGACCAGCATTTTCTCTTAATTCTGGTTGTTCGAGTTCCTTAACAGCATTAAAAACTGCATGGAACAGTATTCAATTCGGTGATTGCAACGTGGCTGTAGTTGGTTCTGCCTCTATTAGATTGCCACAATCTGGTTATGTAGCACAACCAGGTCTTATTCGTTCAGCAAATGGAATATGTCGCCCATTTGATCATAATTCTGATGGAACTATTCTTGGAAATTCCGTGTCAGTTATTGTTTTGAAACGATTATCAGATGCAATTTCTGATCAAAATCCAATTTCTGCTATTATCAAATCAATTGAGCTAAATAATGATGGAAATAATAAAATTGGTTATACAGCACCAAGCGTAGATGGTCAATATGAAGTGATTAAAAAAGCTATTCAATCTGCTAATATTCTACCCGCTGAAATTAGTTTTATTGAAGCTCATGGAACTGCTACTAAACTTGGTGATCCAATTGAAATTAAAGCTCTTACAAAAGTATTTACTGAACTCTCTTCAACAACTAAGAAGCAATGCGCTATATCTTCTGTGAAATCAAACATTGGTCACTGTAATATTGCAGCTGGATTCGCCGGATTAATAAAAACCATTAAAGCATTAGAGGACCGTGTTATACCACCTATGGCAAAGGGTCATTTTGAAAAAATTAATCCATTAATAAACATCTCATCCAGTCCATTTTATATTGCATCCGAGCTGCAAAAATTCAATGAGACAGAAACAATGTATGCAGGAGTCAGCTCACTTGGTATTGGTGGAACGAATGGGCATTGTATTTTAGCCGAATACAAAAAGGAAAATTTCGATTTTAAAGATAAAATGAATACAGAGAACATTAGAGTAATTCTACCTTTTTCAGCAAAATCTATTAGCAGTTTAAATAATATTAAGAAGGAATTTAAGAATTATTTCAAAGGTTATGACTTAACATCATGTAATTTGTATAATTTATGCAATATTGCGAGAACTCTTCAAATTGGCAGAACTCAATACGAATTCCGTAGTATGATAACTGCCACATCAATTTCTGACGCAATAAACCAACTTGAACAAACAAAATCAACAGTACATGTCACATCTCCTAAAGAAAATATAATATTTGTGGTACCTGGACAAGGTAGCCATTCTATTTCAATCCATCGTCATATTTACAAATCATCAATATTGTACCAAGAAAAGTTCAAGAAATGTGCAAATATTTTGCAACAATATGATTCCACAATACCAGATCTTACCAGTTATTTGGAAAAGGATATTTATGATATAAAATACGATCCTTTATTAATTTTTGTTTCTAGTTACATATCAGCTGAAATTCTCAGATCAGTTTTCAATGTACAAATTTCTGGAATTGTTGGACATAGTCTAGGACAATATGTAGCTGCTACTCTTGCTGGCGTATTTTCACTCGAAATAGCTTTAAGAATTGTATTAAAAAGAACCCAAATTATGCATAAAATGGAAAAGGGTTCAATGTTAGCTACTAATTTAGATAGAAAACTTGTAGACAACTTTATAAAGACAGGAAAAATATCTTTAGCTGCAATTAATGAACAGAAGCAATGTATATTTTCCGGGAGATCAAATGATATTGAAGAATTAGCTATAATTCTTGAAACCCAAGATTATGATGTCAAAATTCTTAATGGAGCATATGGATTTCATTCGCATCTAACAGATTCTATTTTAGATGAATTTGAAATAGAAATTTCTTCATTACTTGATAAAGCATTCCAACAAAACACTTCTGCGATCATTCCTTTTATTTCAAATACTTCTGGAAAATGGGTTAATGTTGAAGATGCGTATACTACAAAATTTTGGAGAGAACATTTACGAAAAACTGTCCAATTTGAAGCTGGAATAAAAACTATTAATTCAACATTTTCTAATCCAATATTTGTTAATGTTGGAATTGGTACTGTTACAAGTAAATTGGTTCAAAGAATATTAAGTAATAAGATCACGATCATAAATAGTTTTGATTCCGACAAAACTAGTTTTGAAGAAATAATTGGAAACTGCTGGAGCAATGGAATTGAAATTAATTGGCTTAATTACTATAAGCACATTTGTCCTTTGATGGCAAAAACTCGACTTATTCAATTGCCTGGATATTCATTTAATCATACTTGTAGTTACTGGGTCCAGCAAGATTATCAGAAACCATTAGCATTACTAAAAGCTAATACTGATAGTTTTGCATCTAATGAAATAGATCAACAGCCACTTATAAAATGCAACAATTCGTTTACAATTGAAAGTAGAGTAATTCTTTGCTTTAAGAATACTCTTGGTTTGAAAAATATTGATATAAATAGTAATTTTTTTGATTGTGGTGGTAATTCTCTTTTAGCAATATCATTAATCAGTTTATTAAACAAAGAATTTAATATTGGACTTTTATCACCAAATATTTTGCTCAATTCTCCAACTCCTTTTGATTTAACTAATCATATTAAGGCAATTTTAAGCACAAATATTTTGCCTACAATCAATAATGGCTTCAACATGTCAACATCGATAACGAAACTTTATCAAGGGAGCAAAGCTTTTAAGCCAATTTATATGATACATCCAGTAGGTGGATCATGTATAATTTATAAAGATATTATTAATTCATTAGGAAATATAACAGTTTATGGGTTTGAATATCCCGGACTTCAAGATTCAACAGCACTAGAATATCATTCTATACAAGATCTTTCTGAAATTTACGTTAAAGATTTGTTAAAAAATAATCCAACTGGTCCATATACTCTTCTTGGTTCTTCATTTGGTGGAATTGTGGCATATGAGATGGGATGCAAATTAATTAAGCAAAGAAAATCCGTAAATTTAATTATGGTGGATACACCAGCTGGTCAAGATCTTCCAAAGTCAATACCACCAAGTGTCGCAAAAATTTTACATTATATTTACTCTAAGAAATATAATTTAGATGAATTAATAGAAATGGATGGTGATGATGAGAAAGCATTACGAATAGTTATTGAAAAGGTATCAACATTAAAGCAAGAAAGCTCTGTGATAACATCAATGATGTTAAAAAGAAATGTTGATATATTTAATTTTAATGTAAAAGCAATGAGAGCATATCAATTATCAAGATCAGAAAGACCAATACCAATCATATATTTCAAAGCAAAGATAAGAAGAAAAGGTATAGATCCTGAATTTCCAGAAAAATCTTGGATTAAAATACAAGAAATTAATGGAGGAAAGTTCGATTGTATTGAATTAGATGGTGATCATATTAGTATAAATTTGCATCCAATATGTATAAATATTACTGATTATATCAAACAGTATTTAAATCTAAGGCCACGCAAAGTTGATTTTTCGTTTTGCATTACATGGATTTCTAAATTCGGGACGGACAGACGGATTTTTTTTTATTTTTTATTTTTTATTATTATTTATTTATTTATTTATTTTATTATTACTGTAATCTAAATTAATATTCATATTCACATCTAATTCCTGAGCTTTCGTGTAGTCAAGGCCTTTTAAATTGTTATATAAAATAATTCAGCTAAAATAAAAGGGATAAATGAATTATGTACGCTTGCTGATATTTCTTTAATATGATGTTACCGATTAATAATTTAAACAAGATTCTGCTAAAATGATAAGGGTAACTTGAATACGAGTGATTTTGATTATTATTGATCGAAAAAGTGTTGCAATCATGTTATTGTTGGAATGAATAAGGCCTCATGTACTGGATTGAATTTATTTAAAGAATGCATATCGATCGATATTCAATAAATTCATATTTCAAAAGAATGCATGTATCAGTTCCTATTGATGTACAAACGGGATATCACCCGGAAAATAGCGCTAGGTATCCCATAAGCAGCATAAGGGGCATTGGCCAGCGGGTCCCATTGTGTAAAACAGGCCCATCAAAGAAAATAAGCAGTTATTACGAAAATGGCAGGATTCGAACTCTTCCTGCTTAATATACTTGGGCGTTGTTTTCCCTTCGTGGAACAAGGGTCGCAAATAGAATATTCGAAATGCAGAAAGTGCAGATATGTTTGCTTTGTTATATATGTTGTACGTTGCTCTTAAATAACCGTTAATTCAAAATTAACGTACCTGAGTTTAAAATTTATACCGATTAAAA